CTTTACATCTTCAACAGTTGTAACTACTGCTGATTTTTTTATATTTATTCTAATTCTTTTTACAGAAATTTGTTCATACGTCATTGAAATTTTAATGCTGGCTTTGCCTTCATAAAGCATCACAACTTTTTGTGTGTGTGTGTGTGTGCTGGCAGCGCTACCTTGATGAAGCGGAACGAGAGAAAATGCAGTATGCTCAGGATCTGAAGGAATATCAGCAGACTGAAGCCTTCCAGATCACCAGTGCCAAGCTACATGACAAGAGAATTAAAAAAGGTGACAACTGACATCCACTTATCTCATGTTTATYAGACTGAGTACTGCTTACCTACAGTAAGTTTGTTTATATACTTGTTTGGCTTCTTTTTTATAATTGGTGCAGAATCAGTTTTGATTAGAGCTGTTTTAAACCTAGTGAAGACCAGGGGTCTCATTTATAAAGGATTGTGTAGAATTCATAATAAAAATGTATGTACGGAAAAAGACGAAAAAGGTGTACGCCCCTAAAAATTCAGGTTTATAAAACCAYGCACACCAAAGGTTGCGCTAGACTTTTTTGCCGTCCGTCATTTTGACTTACAAGGTTAAAAAAAAAATCCGTCATGATCAATTTTTACCCGTCACTTCCTTTTTTAAATGATAATGACTAAACATTTATAGAATGTGGCTATTGTCATGTTGGTTTTGCAGTTCTACCTCAGATGCTGTGCCTGCAGGATTTTATTGGAGAAAATCTCATCAGCGCACCTCAGACTGCAGGTCACATGAGAGCGATGTGCACGGTGCTGAAAACAGCACATCTGACCCACACCAGGCCCAATGCGCACAATGACGCACACACACTGTCCCGCTTTTGACTCAGTTACTGTACGACAAGTAAAAATACTATAATAAAAATATCTACAAACGCAGCAAGRTTTTACTTCCAAATCCCACAGCATGTGCTCCTGCTGCGCCACTGCTTCAGCTGCGCCTCACAGACGCTCCAAAGCCTCCTGTCCTTCGTCAATGCGCTGACAGCTCCTGGAGATGCATTCAGTATGGTGTCTAGATCTGAGGTGATGATCAGATGGGAATCTTTTATTTATTTTAGATTAAATAAGACCTCCGGGATGTAGACCTGCTCCGTGCGTAAAGCTGAAAATGTCTCTCTGTGTGASTGTGATGTCACAGAGCCATCTTGTGAAGCCTCATTGATTTTTTTCCCCCGCATCACCTGGCTTGTTTCTTCCAGACTTAAGCCTGGATACTTTAATAAGACGTGAGATAGCAGGTTGATGATTGCGCAATTTCAGCGCATCTTTTCCTGACTGAGTATAAACAGGCTGAAGATGCAGTGGGCATCAAATTATCATAAATCCTCTCTCTGCCCTCCCAACAGCTCATATAAAGTATATAAACTACAATAACGATGGCTGGATAGTGTTTTTTCCACTAAACATCAGTGTTAAGTTGAGTGAAGTAGAGACGTTTTTTTTTTGTTTGTTTGTTTGTTTGTTTTTGTGGACGGAAAAAAATACGCGACCAGCTGCACTCACGTTCATTCTTGGGACCTGGATCAAACCAGCTGCTCTTTGAGCTCTTTTWAAAACTGGCTTCAGACAAAATATATCATTTTAAACAAAACAACAAGCAGAAGGAATTGAGCTGCTCGGGGTCCTGTTCTGGTCCAGCTCAAACTCCTCGGCACTGCGGTGCTCTTCATAACAAACACACCCACAAACTTTACATATCATAGACTGAGAGCGGCGACGTCGTGTCGGCACACTTCTGACTGGAGGCCATGCACAAGACGGCTGTCACCGAGGGCTAGCAGCAGGAGAGCAGACTGAAGTTGCACAATTTTTTTTTTTAAACTCAGCAGTGGGGAAAAGACGTACGACTCGAAGATAAACCAGGCTTTAAGAGGTCAGGGGTGTTAATTGCAATCTGTCAAAATGACGAACGGCCTTCAGATTTTTCCGTCATTGTGTAAAAAAACCAGTCAAATACGGAAAATACTCCATTAACGCAACCTTTGGTGCACGCACACACCTTTGAGCAATTTTCTTCTATAGATCACAGCTGCACCTTAGAGTTTGTTCACAAGGTCTCGCCTCAGGTTCTGCCCTCTACACGCCCACACTCAACCATAAACGGTCAATACAAAGTACCTCATGATTGTTAAGATGTATTTAAATGAGTCAACTGATCAATGTCAACAAAAGCGATTAACTCAGGCACGCACTCTGTCGTGCGTSTGGAGGTGGACAGGTTCTGACAACTGCTCACGTGAACAGATTGTAATKTACACAGATTTTCCCYCATTTTGCAGACATACAGAAGTTTATAGAGCAATCTCACGTATTTTTCCAAAAACTCAGCTTCAAGTGTATTTTCTCTCAGAGCCAGTAGGACGTTAAAAAAACAATAAAATCAAATAACTCCACCATTACCCCAACCRTTAGAAATAAGTTCACTACTCTTCGCCTGCTGCTTTGCACTGCAGCCTGTGTTGTTATCTGCGGCTGACAGTCCCCACCCTCCCACCACATGYGTGTGCTGATAATACGGATTTTAAAATTTATTGCTGTAGTGCTCCGTGTTGAAATGTCTCTTGTCGGGAAGGGGTCTGTTGGTCAGGGTCTTCTGTGTAGGGGGGAGGCCAGGAGGGAGATGGATATGTGTGAACTTTTATTAAGATTTAAGTTGACTAAGAAGATTTTTTTTTTATTTGTAAGGTCCTTATGGCTCACCAGCAGAAGCATAAATAATACTGTTAAGAAAGCTGATGATAAAGTTGATCTAAAATCTAAGTTTGATTATGAAGTGAAATTAAATATCTGAGAGTGATCATGATGCAGTCTGGCTATAATTCCTCACTTCCTGTCTCCAAAATGAATGTGCGTGTGGGACCGCACATTGTCACGCAAAGTTTGAGTTTACAAATCAGAATCTTTGCGTGAAAAGTGGCATACACAAGTTTCTGACCCCGTTTTGTGGGTAAGCAAGCTTTCTAAATGAATGCGACCACAGATTATTTTCAMTTACATCTTTATACGTAAAACTCTAAAATTTAAATAGGGCAGACTTTTCTATCAAGATCAGTTATTGCATCTACAGTCACAACTGACCAAAAGCCTTATTCTGTGCCATGAAATTATAAAATGTATATTTTTCTTTTTCAGAAGACACTTCATCAGTCATTGTTGGTTCTAGTTCAGGGTCATCTTTAACAAAGGTGTGTGGCCCTTTAATATACTGTGTCTGTGTTTTCATCAGTMATTTCCACAGGAATGTCAGAGAGCTGTGTTGTCAATTAAACTGGTCGCATGTGTTTCAGGCTTCTGACCTCTCAAGCAGATTTGACATCCCGATYTTTACAGAAGAGTTCCTTGATCAGAACAAAGGTAACAGAAACCATCTCACACAGAATATAAATGCTTCATACTATATTTTAATTATAGTAAAGCTGCTAATTGAACTATTTCCTGTCAGACCTTTTGTTTAACTTTTCGTTGTGCTTTCAGCTCGAGAAGCCGAGCTGCGGCGGCTACGAAAGGCAAATGTTGAGTTTGAGGAGCAGAATGCAGTTCTGCAGCGCCACATCAATGACATGAACAATGCTAAAGAGCGTCTGGAGGCCGAACTGGGACAGGACGAGATGCGGACCCAGGCTCTCCATCAACACCTGCAGGCCCTTAAACACACGTTGGTCAGCAGTCTGTCATCAGTCCCACTGCCAGGTTAGAATTCATTTAGCTCTTTTCAGTCAGAGTGAAGCAGTGGGCAGATACTTGTATATGAGTTCAGATAAATCTACCATCTTTTTTTTCTCCTCTAAACAGGAACAGGTGAGACTGCATCTCTGGGCAATCTGGACTCTTACCTGAGTCGTCTCAGCGGAGTGCTTGAAGGAGACCCCCATAAACATCGGGCCCTGCTCAGTCAACTTCACAAGGTTCTCTCTCACCTCGACAGGTAACAGAAGCTTGCTTTAAAACACGAGGAGCATTAAAGTGTGTGTGTTGGGGGATTAAGTGTCTGAACTTTAAACAGTTGTGTAAAATTGTTGATTAAGTAGCAGAATATGAAAATTCCAGTGGTTTTTGTTGGATTTACGATGGAGTGTGTCGTTTGATATGAGTGCAAAGATAYATCCGTGTGACTACAGCTGTTCACGATGCAGTAAAAAGTAGAGGCTGACGTTTCACTGCTGAGTCTGTATTTGTGTATTTAAAACCAATGGTGAATTTTGTGTTTTCTCATGTTTTGTTTCTCTGTCAGTGAGAAGTTATGAGGAGGCTCCAGTCACATCCCCACACACCCAAACATCATAAAGATACCTAACAGGCTGGATGTGGGTGTGTCAGCAGAAGAAAGGGTGCAAACACTTGCAGCCCATGTCTACATGGCTATTGTTTACGGATACTTGTATTTTGTAAAATGTGTGTACCACTGCACATATTTTTAAATTAATTTGTGTGGCAGCATAAGTGGTTCATGAATCGTGTAGCATTGAAACAAATTTGGACTGATGATGTGTTTTATCTTTGCATCAAAATGAGGGTGTGAATAAGGATAACCATGTGGGACTGTTAAGAATAGAAATGTAGATTAGGCTGAATTAAAAAAAAAATCAGGGCAAAGAAAACATGCTTCACTTTATTTGACTTTGTCAGGTTGTGGGATGGACAGCCTGTTCCTAATGCTGTCATAACATGATATATTTGTGCTTTATATTTGTATTTTTAAAGATGTTCATTAAATCACGTTGAACATCCTGTTTTCAACAAATAATTTCTTCTTTTTAATGTTTTCAGTCAATGTGGGAGCTTTGAAATGAATTTTGCTTTATTGCAATCTTTGCGGGGAGGAAAAGTAAACTGTTTTAAAAAATGATGTGATGGAAACTAAAACAGCAGAGGGAGCTGTTGACCTTTTTATTTTTGAACTTCTAAACCATTTTTTTTTTATTGATTCCAGGTTAGTGCTAAATTTAGTGACTGAGCATCGGTCAAAAATATACAGTTCTTTTTTAATTAGTGTTTCAAAATTGTTTAATTTATCCTTATTTGTGGTTAGAATATGCAATCTATAAAGTAATCCAAAATCATAATGC